TCAGCCCCTCTCCCATCATGGAGCTGCTCAGCTCAGGCTCTGGCCCCACCCATCCTGCAGGGAGGAGCATGCGCAGTTTCTTGCAGACCCAGAAGTGGCTATGGAGAAGAGGGTGGCCTTTGTGCTTTAAGGCTGATGTACTCCATCCACCTCCCAGCAATGAAGGGTGAGGGTCGCTGCAGGCGCTGAAGTCCTTATTGAAATCTCTGCTCTAGAGCCTCTCACAGCAGAGAGTCTGTGTCCCAGGAGGCTGTGTAGTGGAGGCACCACGTTCCTTTCAGAAGAAACTGAGGATTGATCAGAGCCTGTGGGTGGAGGGGAGGGACCAAGAGGTCTTCCCTCTGCCCCTTGCCAGTCTCCAGTCCCACCCTGCCGCCATCCAGCCTGGTTCCCCATGGTTCCCCATTGGCCATCCACTAATCGGAGCTTGCGGACTGGAGAGAGGGACCAAGAGGTGGTCAGTGCACCTCATAGCGACTGGTCGATCGGTCGTTCTGGTCGTGACGCCTAGCCTTTTATTATATAGGATGCTCCTATCAGTTAGCCTTTAGCAATGCTAAAGCAATCAGGTATCTTCTCTACTGGATAAAGCTGTCATTTTCAGAGACAAATGGTCTGCAATGCTGCTATATTTATCCATAAGATTGTGGGCAAATTTTCATTAAAAAATTCTGAATGATTTAAAAGATGTATGAACTTTCCAAAAATGTCTGCGTTTCTAACTGTGGCACCCACTATTTTACTATTTAGAAATAGATCCCTGCCTGTTCTCTCGGACATCAGTAGCTGCCAGTAGAGTATGCTGGAGTTTGGAAAGCTGAACTTCAATCCTCTACCATTTGTCACCAATGCAGTAGCTTTGTGTAATAATGTAATTAAGAAATATAGCACATAGCATCATTATCAGCATCTGTATTACAGGGAATTATAGTATAAAATTAGGAAATAACACATGATGTTAATATCTCTCTGTCTAAAAATACAGTGCAGAGTATAATTGGTGCTCCTCATTGTAATACTTGTGGTTTCATATATTTGCTCTGTTGTGCCTGGGACCTTGCACAAAATTTTCTTTCTGCCTGATATGAGTCCTCTTTCTATTCAGCTTCCTGTTCTGGCTAATTGACTAAGTCAAGACTAATTGACTTTGTCTTGAGGACTAAGCTTTATAATAACTTCCTCAACTTTCAATCCCTCCACATTGTCTTCTTCATCACATGTATCTAGTGGGCTACACCAGTTCCTAGCACATGTGAGCGCTCAACACATGCTTATTAAGTAAATGAAAGCCTAGGTGGTTTTCCTCCTATTTTTCCCCCATAGCACCTTGGGTTTACCTATGCCAAGTAACTTTTGCTCTATATTCTGATAACTTGTGTATTTGTTTCCTCAAAATGAACTTTTTATGATAGGGCTTAGTTCTTGTTCACCAGTTTGTCTCCACACTAGCACAGAATGTGGCACACCATAGGTGCTTAATAAATGCTGGTGGAATAAACAATGGGTGGACTTTTGTGGGTCCCTTGGGTTCAGAAATGTCCTGGCCATCCATCTCAAGCTCCCTTCTTCTATGGGTTCTAAAAACTTCATGTACGTCTTAGGAAGGTGCTTTCTGTGTTAGGATTATTGTTTAGTTTCATTTGAAAAAAGGTGGGGAGGAAGATCTGTGTTAGGATTATTGTTTAGTTTCATTTGAATAAAGGTGGGGAGAAAGATCATTCTGGTAGAGGTAAGGATCTCATGAAAATGTCTTTGACAGAAATTAGTACCAGAGCTCTTAGACACAAAAGGGTTGTGAGTAAATGTACTCTCCATACAAATGAAAGTCTTTATGCATTTTGTCTAAGGGTTAGTCAGAGGTAAATAAAAATTACCTACTGATTGAAAGAAAAGCAGCATGGTATAGTGAAAAATGGCAATAGATTCAGGAGGGTGTGGGCCTAGTCCTACTTCTGCCTCTAGGATATTCCAACTCAATGAAAATGTCTCCTTAACTGCAGAATAACTAGGGGAGTGACAAGAGCTTTTGTCTCTAACAGCCATGTCAGATGTTTCTTTTTCTCAGTTTATATTTTGTAATTCACATTTAAAACATTTTTATCTCAACTTTGGTTATATTTAGGCTCATGATAAGTAAAACCACATTTCAGGAAATACCTTTTTTTCCTTTTGTTTAAGGCACAGTTTCCATGTATTCTGCCCTTTCCCTCCTTCACATGCCCTGTCTGCCTCCCTTATACCCCCTTTCCTATCTTTGTTTCTCAAGGGAAGTTGCATTTGGATATTTTTAATTCATTTCCAGGTGCTTCCAAAAATATTATGTTGTTAGAATGACTTGTTATTTAAAATGCCAGTTCTTTAAACCTATGGAAAGGATGACTGAAGTTGATAGCTTTGTGTTTTAGAAGATATTTTATTTCACTAGCGCCCCGACAGAGCGCTCTTGATTTGGGCTGTGTCTTCTGATCCTAACACATAGAGATCCTGCCCCCTTGTTCTTTTTTTTTAATTCTTTATTGTTTAAAGTATTACATGAGTCTCCTTTTTCTCCCCCATTGACCTCTCCCCGACAACCCTCTCCCAAACACAAGCCCTCACCACCACCACCACCCCCGCCCCCTGCCACTGTCTCTGTCCATTGATTTTGCTCATATGCACGCGTACAAGTCCTTTGGTTGATCATTTATCCCCTCAACCCCCCAACACCAACACAACCACCACCGCCGCCTTTCCTCATAGGTTGTGCAGTCTGTTCGATGCTTCTATGTCTCTGGTTCTATTTTTGTTCATCAGTTTATGTTGTTCATTATATTCCACAAATGAGTGAGATCATGTGATATTTATCTTTCTCTGACTGGCTTGTTTCGCTTAGCATAATTCTCTCTAGGTCCATCCATGCTGTTGCAAATGATAATAATTCCTTCTTTTTCTTGTCCACTTGGCCTTGTACCCCATTTGTAATCCTCTCTGTGAGGTGTTTGTTTCCTCTGTATTTTCCACCTGCCATCTTTGACTCCATACTCCTCCTCCTCAGTGCTCCTCCTCACCAGTGCTGTCCGTGTCAGTGACTCAGGAATGGCAGTTACAGCCATGCGTCCGTTCTGTGTGGTCTTTGAAACAAACAGTGTTGTGTGAGTTGCTCCTTTTCTCTGCAGTAGAGTTGAAGAGGACTACCTGACACTGTGGGAAGAAGCAAGCCTGAGAAGAAGCCTTATAGGACACCTAGTGATTTAGTTACATTTGATCATCAAGAAAGCCACCAGTTACCACTGTGCCTTAGCATAAGAGTGCATGTGTCCAGACAAACAGGGAAAACCATTGCACTCCAGCTCCAGGGAAACCAAGCACCCTCTTCAGTGAGCACCTAGGGACTGCGCTGCAGCATCTCATCATTAGCCCTCAGGTGTGCAGAGGCCATCCATCCAGACTACAGATGCTGGCCCCTCCAGAGAGCATCTGTAACAACAAGCAGTTTGTCACCTCATCCTCTTGCCCTTAGCCAGCCAGGCATAGGGGCAGGGATTATTAGGACAAAAGGACTGGTCTGTCACTCAGAAGATCCAATTGGAAGAACGCACAGCATTTCTTCTACTCTCGTTGTCCTAATGAGGGGAGATAGTGTAGCAAGTTCAACCATAAAAAGCCGTTTATCTGAAGTAATTTTCCAGCCATCTCTATATGCTTTGAGTTAAATTCCTCACAGTTAAGGGAGTTTATGTGGATTTGATTTTTCCTTATAGTTTATCTTTTAGTTTAAATACGTATAACTATCTTTCCTCTTTTGTTATCGTATCCATTGAGCTTCCTACAAGCTTGAAGCATGTGGAAACATCTCAACTGCAGCATATTAATTTTTGTTGTGAAAACCATGATTTGAAAAAATATTACCATTTGTAAGTTTTTAGGAATACCAGCACTTTATTTCTAGCTTAATTTTGAGCATGCTTTTAAAAAAATCCCCTCAAAGTGCTTTATAGTATACATCACTTTTTTAACTAAAGTAAGTTTATTTTTTATGTTTTAAACTTTTTGTTTCCACAAGGTAAAGAGGGTTAGAGTGGGATCCAGTCCCAGAAATACCCTGCTTAGCTCCTTGATTTTGAACCCTTCACTCAGCATTGTTCAATTTATGTATTAAATTGGCCTGGGGATGTCTTTTCTCAAGTCATCGTGCAAAACTAATGAAATGAGATAATATATGTGAAAGTTCTTGAAAAGTTAACAAAGAGGATCCTCAAAGAGTTAGAAACAAAAGTAAACTTATTCACACTTATTTAGTTATCATTTAAACACATATGGTGTTCTAGAGTTTATCGTTTTCTGGTATCTCAGAATTTATTTCCAAATGTCTCCTGCATGTAAGATAAAAATATAATTTATCCAAACTAACAAGTTGTTTGACAGTTTTGGTCACCAGTGTTCGGATGAACTTGTGATATATGTTTAAATTATTTTAAATGTCAGTGATTTAAACTGCAATGATTACCAGCATTCAATGAAGTGCTAGGAAAAGGCACAGTAATGGAGAATTAACTAATAACATACAAGTAAGGTGCAAAAGATTTATATAAACATTTGGGAAAAGGCAGGTTAATGACCTGTACACTTTCCCTAAAATATTCTTAAGTCCATGTATTAGATCCCCAAACACATTTATAGAATACAGACTTAGTGACTTTTTCTTAATCTTATTGTAAGAACACATTTACAAAACATTTTATACTACACATTTAGCATTCTGTCCTAAGATTTCGTCAGCTCTTCTAGGTGGTTATGTGTTTATGTGACCTAAAATTGCTATTGCCTTGGGAAAAAAAACTTACCTCCTTCACCTTAAGAAGTTGCCCATCTGTTAATCTCACAAACATCAACTGAGATGCTGGGGGGATGGTAAAGTTTTGGTGTTGCTCCTAGGTGTCAGTCTCCTCCATGACTCTCTTCTCTCATTCTTTCTTCTCCCTCTCCTGACTTTGTCAACCTCTCTTCCTCTTTGCCTCTAGGGAGAAGCCCCCAGTGGAGGACAGTCATTGAAACACTACATGGAAGAAGTGAGTTTTAAGGTGGCCTGTAAACACAGTCTGAAAACAGTCTATCTATCATATAGAATGAAACCCTCACGTGGGCTTTCTCCATCCGCCTGTAGGGTTTCCAGTCTATGCCCACTCTTTGGTCATGCCCACAGAAACAGGATAACAAATAATGGTATAAAAATGGCTTTTGGTCCTCATGGGTAGGGAGATACGGTGTGTCAATTCATCCTGAAAATGAAGGTATAAACCTAGTGCTATTATGTATTTTCACTCATAAACATTTGCTGATATCCTAGTAAATGAAAAACACATGCTTTTTGTTGGACATGTCCAAAAAAGTAAGACATGATCACTGCTCTTATGACAAGAACAATCTATACCAACTGTCTTAACAATTTAAATATGTAGATATTTGTGGAAAACCCATTTAGACTTCTGATTTATTTGGAAGATATCCCAGGGTGCTCTGCGTCACATGCTGTGTCTTCGTGCAGTTTGCAAATGGAATTTGGGGACTTTCAGGTAAACCAGTGCATAGAATCCGTAAAACTTGATCTAAAACCAATCCACAGAGGTCACTAAATTAGCCACCTGAATTGTTGCAGGTGAAAGGATCTGGGAGACAACTTGGTGATGATGTCATGGAAGCACCAAGTGTTTGGTTCTCAGCAAGACAATCTGTGTCTCTAATTAGTCTATTCTCCCATGCACGAACCCATTCAAAAACAATTTTGATTGCCCTACTAAATGTACTGTGTAGTCCGTTGATTCATTCAGAATACTGAACCTATACTGAAACTCACTTTTACCTCTAGATATCACTTGGAAAGAAAAACCAGAGTGAATAGCACCCCTTTAAGTCTCTAACATTCTGAGTTTTCATGCTTGTTTGGAGGTGGTTGGAATTTTGTGAAAGGTACATGGAGAAGGAGTAATGAAGAAAAAAAATGGACTAGCCAGGCAGATAGTTTAAGTTCAGGTTAGAAAAATCAAAATATATGGGGCAGAACATTGGAGGATTGGAGCACCAACTTTAAATTTCCACTTAATGAATTTGATACAAAAACTGAATAGAATACATTAAGCAATTAATGTTGCCAAGAAGAGGCAGACACTGTTTTCAACATGTATATCAACAGAATCTCCCTTTAGGATTCTGTTTGCTCAAGCTCTTGGCTCAGCATCCCACTTGCTGGTAGGGTGCCTTGTAATGTGTCCTGTATAGGTCTAGCACTGTGGAGGAAAGGGAGCATTACAGTGTTGATATACGAAATGGGCTGCATATAGCTGATAGAACTTTTAAAGTGTCTTATATTAATTTTGCAGTTGTAAAACAACAACAAAAGATCCTTATTTTCCTCATCATTACAAATGTGCAATCTAAACGTACATGTTGTACGCAATTGTAAATGCTCAATGTGACATGAAGGCTGAGAATGTGTACCTTCTCAGTGTGGTCCTCAGACTAGCAACATCATCATCACCTGAGGTCTTGTAAAAAATGCAAAATCTCAGGGCTAACACCAGATCCAAAGAATCAAAATCTGCATTCTAACAAGATTCCCATGTAATTCATAAACACCCTAAAGTTTGTGGGCACAACCATAAAGTGTTCTTTCCAATGTTATTTCTAGAGAGGAACTTCATACAACACGGGGAAAAAAATCAATGTTATATAATATTGGTAGAGGAACATTTTTTTAATAAATTTATGAGTTTTGTTTATTCATCTACTCTGAGGAATAGATTGTTGATTCAGGGTATAAAACCTCAGGATCTTATGAGATTCATTACTGACTTTCAGTTTGAGTTTACAAGTATGTGTGAACTGCCCAAGGTAAGCCTTGCCTTTCTTAGGGGTTCAATTTCACATAGATTTTTTATCTAATGTTGGTTGGTATTTAGCTTTTAGCTCTTTTTAAAATCAATAAATGATCATTTTGACAGTAAAACTAAGTTTGATCTTAATTAGTGAACTACTGATTTACTGAAAGTTCTTTTCAGACATTAATTATTGGATCTTTAGGAAATATATTCAAACTCTCCTTTATTGCGAACAAGTTAAAATTGTGAGCCAAAAATTGATAGTTTTTGTTTTTTTTCCCCACTTATGCTCTTATTTCACTTTTCCCTCTTTCTCATATTCCTAGAATCAGCAAACATTAAGGAACAGTGTGTGTGTGTGTGTGTGTGTGTGTGTGTGTGTATATATATATATATATATATATATATATATATATATATATATATATATGTCAGAAGCATTGAAGTTAAAACTGAGCTAGCAAACATTTGCTTTTATTTAGTATACATTAAAACTCAAATAAACCATAGTGTTTACATTTTTAATATATTTAACATTTCTTGCTAAAGTTTGAACAACTCTTTGCAGATCAAAGTCTCTGGTTTTCTTATTTATTTAGTCTTATAATTAGTCAGAATCATAACCACATGAAGTTAGACAATTCTGTTTAGACCTAACTCAAAACTAAAGACACAATATAGTCTCCTCAAAAAAATAAAACAATTCTGGTCCATATTTTCTGTTGTTTAATGTGTAATTTTTCCAGCATAGAGTTTATATTTTTAACCAAATAAAAAACAACAAGGTATTGCATAATAATCTACTTTCCCTAATCTTCAAAATTGTTCTGACAATTTTTAAAAATTACATATTCTTTACTTACAAGGCACTTAGTAACTCAAGGCAGAAATAATAATTTCACTTTGTAAAAATTTTAGTGTTTGGAATCATAATATCAACATTCATTGTGCACACACACACACACACACACTCACAATTTAAAATAACTTATCAAAATCAAGGACTTCCAAAGCTCACTATGCCTTTTGTAGAGAAGCTGGTCTTTTTTAAAATCATATTTCTTTAGATGAATAACTGAGAGCAGCATAATATACTAGTTAGAAATTCCCTACTTATTAGAGAAATGTGTTAATTTAAACATCCATAAATCAGATAAACATAGTGAAATTAAATGGTTGAAGGCCTCCGAAGAACTAAAGACTGAAGTTGATTATTTTTAAAACTTTTTAAAGAACCACTGAGAGCAGTTCTTCACAACCTCAGGAAGTTATTTGGTAAAGGCCAGAGGCAACATACACAGGAGTGTGAACTAGCTGCGGGTGTCAGGCAGCAGCTTCACAATCTCTCAGGGTGTCAGGCAGGAAAAGAAGCCTGTTAAGTGACAGACCTTTTTCAAATCTGTAGAGGTTGGTTTTTCCAACTGTGCCACCGATTCTATGCTACAAAATATCTTAGAATCACTTCTCCTGCCAATTGTGTCTGTCTTTTCCCCTGTTTTATATTCTGTGATTGTTAATGCAATGAAATTCCAACTGTGCTTCTGAAGGAGAGTGCATGACATTGTTCTTCTATAATAAATAAGACATAATGGACTTTTTATCGTGCACAGGGATTTACTTTTTAAAAATTGAAATAACTATTCTTTAGTATCATACTTTTATTCCACTTAGGAAACAAGGAATTTCTTTTTTAAGGAAACTCACCTGTCGTTGATATTCACTAAGAATTAATGCATGTAGTTAAAGGATAACATTTTTTTAAAGTTATAATCCTGGTTCTCATCTATACTAATAAAAGGATAATATGCTAATTAGACTGGGAGACCTTCTAGACATCCTTCCGGACAAAGCCATGGTGATGGGGCCAAGGCAGAGGCAGTTAGGGGTGATCAGGCCAGAAGGGGAGGGCAGCTGGGGGTTATCAGGCCAGTGGGGGGCAGTTGGGGACAAGCAGGCTGGCGGGGGGGGGGCCATTTGGGGGTGATCAGGCCAGTGAGGGGCAGTTGGGGAAGAGCAGGCTGGCAGGGGGGGACACTTGGGGGCAAGCAGGCCGGCAGGCAGGCAGGTGAATAGTTAGGAGCCAGCGGTCCCTGTGGGATCAGGCCTAAACTGGCAGTCGGACATCCCCTGAGGGGTCCCAGATTGGAGAGGGTGCAGGCCGGGTTGAGGGACACCCCCACCCCGTGCACAAATTTTGTGCACCGGGCCATTAGTACAGATATAAAATGATCATATGTCAAAGATTTATTCAACTCATTAATTAATGAAGGAACCAATAAGATATTGCAGCAAATTCAAAGGAGATTTCAAACCCTCACATATAGTTAAATAAGGAATCTTGAAGTGAAGTTATAAATAAATGCAAAACCTAGCAAACCTAATTTATATCCATAGGATAATAATTAATTGCATTTAAATTGACATAATTTGCATGTATGTGGACAAGAATTATTTGTACTACTATACCAGTAAATTTTTATAAATTGCATAGTTGTAAAATGGCTCAAAGTCAAGTGAATGACTCCGAACCTATATCAAATCAGCTAATTGGAAGGGCAGGCTAGAAAAATTGTTACAGGTCCAAATTCTCTGAAAGGCCAAGGCTCAAAATACCAGAGTTTGTTGTAAGGGAAGGTTTATTGATTGAGAAGTTGCCAATTAAGAAGGTAGGGGTGCTAGCAGTTTCTCAAATTTGTTTTAAGAAAGTACAGAATTCAGTCTTCTTTTATGTCAAGAGATGGGATGGGGGGGAGGGAGGGGGAATAAGAGGGGCTATTTCTGTAAAAACTCAAGCCCCAAGCAGAATTTCTCTAGTGATTAGCATCTCTAAAGCAGACACTGTTAGCCTGAAGACCACTGACACAATGTAGGTGTGAACAAGATGGAGTCATAGACACCCAGCATTTCACTGTTACAAAATGACTTAGCTTTCATTGACTACACTCAGTAGTGTTTCATTCATTTCAAAGCCTTTTACAACTTTATCCTACAGTTCATTTTGTAATGTTTTTCACAATCTACCATATTTTTTCTAACTTTATTATTGACCCCTCTCTTTTCTTTTCCAAAATCCTATTAATTCAAATGTATAGCTTCCCCAAACTTATTACTTCCCTTCTTGGGTTTCAATTGCCCTTTTGCAATCCTCATAAGAAATAAGCTACAGAAGTATAATTAACTAAAAATTGATGGAT